GTACTTGGAGATGGAAGCAAACTTAAGTAATGTAAGCATACATAATTCTTTCCCATCCAATTTTTTTTGAGATTTGATATGCTTTTGAATTTAGTTGATATAGGCTTATTTTAAGCTTGCAGAGTGATGCTGACGCTGATGAAGACTTCTCACTTCTGCAACCTTTGGATCTAATCACAAAAGATGTCCGTGAGTTGCGGCAAATGATCAAAGAGAGGAAAAAGAGTCTGCAGAAAGAGAGAGATAAAGAAATAGAGAAGGCGAAGGAGAAAGAGAAAGAGAAGGAGAAGGAGAAGGAGAGGGAGACAGAGAGGGAGAAGGAGAAGGAGAAAGAGAAAGAGAAAGAGAAAGAGAAAGAGAGGGAAAAGGATAAGGAGACTGAGAAGGAGCATGAAAGAGAACGTGCACGTATAAGAGAGAAGGAACGACAGGAACGAGAAAAAGAGGTAGAGAAGGACAGAGAGAGAGATCGAGAAAATCAACATGAAGATAATGCTGACAGAGGGGCCATTCCTGACCGAGAGGAGAAGACTGTTGTCAAACATGAAGAAAATGGAATTTCTGGAGGTTAGCTTATATATGTTGATGATCCATGTTGGCCTGATGTGAAAATATGATCTTTTGTTCCGTATGCTGATTTTTTCAGCTGCTCCCTGAAGCCAGCAAACCTGTGAAGTGAATTTTTAGGAAATAATTCTTCTTCCTTTTAGCATCAGTTAACGCAAATGAAAGTAAGATAATGATGGAACAGTATGTAATGAATCTTTTCTGCTGTAGTTGTAATAGAACAAGAACGAAATCCATGCTTGTTACCGAGAATATGACCGAAAATGTTGTGGTCACGCTATAGGGATAAAATACTTGATTTGTCCTTCTGTCTGTTTGTTTCTGTCCATCGCATCTCTGCTCTGTTTATTCTATCGACTAATTCTTTGTAATTCATTCTCCTCTTTATCTAACTAGGGGCTGAACCTATGGATATATCTGTTCCATCAACTTCTCAGGCATGTGAAATTAGTAGTTCCGATGTGATGATATTGGAAGGTCATGCTTCGGAGGTTTGTATATGTTGACCATTTCTGTTCGTTATGTGCTGTTTAGTTTGATTTTATTCTTGTTGTCAGGTAAGGCCTGCTTGACAAAATTGTATTTCCTCCTTTTCCCCAGGTTTGTGCTTGTGCATGGAGTCCTACTGGATCACTTCTTGCATCCGGGTTGGTACTCTATTAACTAAGAATCTTATATTAACTGTGACTATCTATATTGGTTTGTGTTTTCTAGAGCTGTTGGGTGTTCCATACTATGAGTTGGACTTGCATGTTATTAGTTTAGTGGAGAAGTTTCATGCTTGTTGCCTTAAATGGTAGATCTGGAGATTCAACTGCACGTATATGGACTATTGCGGAGGGGACCGCTAGATCTAGCATGCAGAATGGTCCAGCTAATGTACTGGTGCTGAAGCATGTAAAGGGGAGAACAAACGAGAAGAGTAAAGACGTGACAACACTTGATTGGAATGTAAGCCGTGCTACATGCTTCATCATTGAGCAAGTGTAGCTGTAAAATGACCTGTTTTTCTTTCATGGATGTCAAAGCATCAATGGTGTACCAGTGTCGTGTAATTATGGAAATTTTGTCGGCTTAAGCAGTGGATATATTATTTTGTTGGCTTTTCCAATCTCCATATGTTCATTAGAATTTCTCCATGTCTGGTCATTCCATTTTCTCAAATTTCAGTGAACCTAGAGTTATGAACTGTTACTTCTTTTCCTGAAATGAGTGCAAATATATGTGTCTTATTTACAAGTAGCTTCAGTTTCAGGGGACATAATTGCGGTTTGGTTTCATTTCTGCTTGCAGGGTGAGGGAACATTACTTGCTACAGGTTCATATGATGGGCAAGCCAGAATATGGAGTACGAACGGTAGGTTGTTCTGGCTTGCATCTGTGCCCCGCCATCTGTTTGACATCTTAACCCTTGCAAATTAACCTTATGAATATACATTCTTGAAAGCTTAGAAAGTGTGGTGGGGGATAATGAAAGAATCACCGAGGCACAGGCCAAATGGAGAAGCGTACTCTTCGGTCATGACTTAATTGGCTTCTCTTTGAGCTCGAACTTTGTTGGGTCTCATTTAACTTAAATTTTTCAATGAATATTTTTGAGATAGAGGATGCTATGGGTAACTATTTTTTGAACTTGTGTCTTGTCTATGTGGGGTCTAGGCGAGCTGAAAAGTACTCTGTCCAAACATAAAGGACCTATTTTCTCTCTTAAGTGGAACAAGAAGGGAGATTTTCTTCTGACTGGAAGCTGTGACAAAACGGCGATAGTTTGGGATGTGAAAGCTGAGGAATGGCGACAACAGTTTGAGTTCCACACAGGTTCAATTTTTGGTGTCTTGGTATTGTTAATCTGCTCTTCATTTCTGGAATAAAACATTGAGTAATCAAGTTTATTTTAGGTCCTATACTTGATGTTGATTGGCGCAACAATGTTTCATTTGCAACAAGCTCCACAGACAATATGATATATGTCTGCAAAGTTGGAGAGACACGCCCAATAAAGACATTTGCTGGCCATCAGGTTTGTCGAAGGAACTATGTTTGTTGACTGTTGATTTTAAGAATTTAATCGAAGCCTTGAACGTTGTGCTGTGTGAGCTTTTGTAGCTGTTGCCTAACTTCTAGACTCTAGTAAAGCTTTAACAACCTACAAGAAATAGAAGGAAGAAGAAAGATTGAGCTTGTGGCCTAGAGTTTGTCACTGGTCATATTTGACCTGTGTGTGAGTCAAGAATGACGAGACCAAGTTGCAGTTGGAGTCTGATCAGCTGCACACTTTTATTTAATTTATTTCATGAATGTAAACAGTCCACTTACTATCTTAATAAATGAGAGATATTTTGGGAACTCTACATCTTTCTGCCCTAGTATAGTACTAATACACTTGGACTTGCTATCTGCCTACTTGAATGATTGCTTTTTTAAAAGGCCGGCCTATGTGCTACTCATTTATGTCATACTGACATTGAAGGTTTCCAAGGAACTGATTGCAGTTTAACTCGCAAAATATAGTCCTGTAATTGCTGCTACTTTGTTGTCTGATTTTCAGGGTGAGGTTAATTGTGTTAAGTGGGATCCAGCAGGTCAGCTATTAGCATCTTGCTCTGACGACATCAGTGCTAAGGTTGTTTCCACTGTTTTGTTCAATTATTCAACAATTTGCATTTTGGGTTTCTCAATTTCTGAATTTAATGGTAATCACTTGCATTGTTGTTGCTTCAGAGCTTATAAGTTATGTTTTTCATTGTGTTGTTTGTTTACTTGTGAGTCCAATGTTGCTGCAGATATGGAGCATGAAACAAGAGAAGTACGTTTATGATCTGAGGGAACACACCAAGGTACTTTGGAGTTCCAGTTTTCCTCAAGTTGACTAGATGGATCTTTATTCCAGTTGAAGTGTATAAATAATCTCGTTCTTTTCAGGAAATATATACACTTAGATGGAGTCCTACTGGACCTGGTAGCAGCAATCCTAACGAACAATTGGTGCTGGCAAGGTAGAGTCTTATTGTTGGATGTGTTTCTTTAGGCTGTTTGAATTTTACAGAGCTGAGCTAAAGGAGAACTAGGAGTGAAGTGTTTGGAGAAGTTCCTATAGCAAAATAGTGTTAGTGAACTTCTTTCTTTCTGATGGTTTTGTTTCAATTGCTAAACTTGGAAGAATATAATTATTATGGTTGTTTGTCAAGTAGGATTATTAACGTTGAAGGGGAATTATTTTAAAGCAATGAAAAATAGAACGTAGAATGACCAAACTGGAGTAATTGTTTAAAAGATTGCTTCCCCTTTGTCAACCCCATTTTGTTATGCAATGAAAGCATCTTGGTGACTCGGTCATCTTGTGCTCTCTTCTATGGCCCTTGGTTCGAGACGATTAAAGAAACAAGCAGAAGGGGTTATGTGGCTGAAGTTAAAGGAGGGGTGAGGGTGTTTGTTTTGAGCTTAATGGCCGCTAAAGTATGAGGTCCTAAAACTTGAGTTGCATCGAATGCACTTATATGTCTTTATACTCAGATTTTATCTTTGATTCGTTTATTACCAATATGGTCCTGATCATTATTTTGGCCCTGTTTGTAGGTCGTTAGCAACTTCTATTGCCCCTTTTAACTTAAATTTATATTTCTTTGTATAATGGAATTTCATGTTCTGCGTTTTCCACAGTGCATCATTTGACTCAACAGTGAAGTTGTGGGATGTGGAGGTCGGGAAACTTCTCTGCACTTTGTGTGGACACAGGTAATTTCTTTTGTCGTGATGAACAGAAGTTTTCCTATCAGTCATTCTGCTGCTGAAAATTCTTAACATCGTTGATTTGGTTTCAATTGTTCCTACTGTTGTTGACCGTCTGTCCTCGACTGATTTGTGCAGGGATCCTGTATATTCCGTCGCCTTCAGCCCTAATGGAGAGTATCTGGCGAGCGGTTCTCTCGACAGATGCATAAACGTCTGGTCATTGAAGGATGGAAACATAGTGAAGAAATACACCGGCAACGGTGGAATATTCGAAGTTTGTTGGAACAAAGAAGGCGATAAAATTGCCGCTTGTTTTGCAAACAACACTGTTTGTGTTCTGGATTTCAGAATGTGAAAGAAAAACTGGAAGGCTCTCACACAACGATGTGGAAACCCGCTTGGGAATTGTATTAATGGGGGGAAGAAGCTTTTCGGTTCTGCTTGTAGCTGTAGTAGGCAATGCACCAGCTAACTGTGATCAGTTTTGTAATTAAAAAAAAAAAAAAAAAGAGTCGGTCTTTCAATTGTGAGTAGGGACTTCCATTGAAGGCTAGGCTGCATAGAATATTATCTTCATATGTACAAAAGTAACTCGCGTCGCTGAGCATTCATACAATATAGAATATGCTTTGCCTCCTTTCTTTAAGTTTTGTGATCTGCGCTCTGCGCTCTGGCCTTGTGATCTGCAAGGATATGGAAAGTCACCAATAATCGCCGCAAGAGCACGAGCCATTGTTGAAATGGTGGAAACGATTTCTGTCTCTCATTACGATCGCCCTACGAGTGATCTTGGAGACCAACTTCATCACATCATGGCAATCAGAACACACCCTGAGGTTCTTCACGATCCTTATTGTGGCTCCTGGTTCGGTACTGATGAGCCCAAAAGCCATGGCCAGTTTCTCGCTGTGTACACCAAGGGACTTCTCCTTCTCTTCCTCCCCTAGATCATGCAACACAGTGTCCGTCCGAGGGGTGTGCCCTTGAGCCTTCACCCATACATTCATCTTTTCGAGCATCATATGGATGTCGTTGCTCCTCGGATGCCACGAGTCTCCAGCGACGAACTCGTGCACTCTGTTGTTCACTTCAATCGAGCTACAACCATGCTCTTTCTCTACTCCACCGTCTCTCATCATGGTTCGCACCTTGGCCACACCTTCCCAGTTGTTTGCCTTGGCGTAGAGGTTGGAGAGCAAAACATATGTGCCGGAATTCTCGAGATTCTGTCTCATCATCAGCCCTGCAATTTCCTCCCCCAAAGCAACGTTGCCGTGAATTTTACATGCGCCTAACAAAGCTCCCCATAACACTGCGTCCTGCTCTACTTCCATGTTCTTCACCAGGTCATAAGCTTCTTCTAAATACCCGGCTCGACCGAGGAGGTTCACCATGCACCCATAGTGCTCAACTTTTGGTTCAATACCGTACGTCCTCGCCATGGAAGAGAAGATTTCCCGCCCTTCACGAACCAAGCCGGAGTGACCACAGGCATTCAGAACGCCGATTAAAGTTATATCAGTCGGCTTGTACCCAAGTCTACACATTTCGTCGAACAGCTGGAGTGCGACGTCGCTCAACCCGTGCATCGCATATCCAACGATCATCGAGTTCCAAGCCACGACGTCCTTGTGAGTGATTCTCTCGAAAACCAGACGGGCTTCCTCCAAGCTACCGCATTTGCAGTACATGTCGATGAAGGAAGTCGCGACGCGGACATTGATATCAATCCCGTGATTCTCCGCGTACCAGTGGAGCCATCTCCCTGACTCCAGAGCCCCGATTTGAGCACAAGCGGAGAGAACCGCGACCATGGTTGCTTCATTTGGCTTCACTTTAGCTCTCAGCATCTGCTTAAATAGAGACAACCCTTCATTCGGCGACCCAAATTGAACGTACCCATCGATCATCACGTTCCAACAGATAACATCTTTATCCTGCAGTCCGTCGAAAAGCACCCTCGCCTCTCGAACCATCCCGCACTTGGCGTAGCAAGTAATCATCGCCGTCAGCGAGACTAAACTTCTCTCGGGCATAGAATCAAACAGCTTGCGCGCAGACTCCATATCTTCCCCTTTGGCATAAACGTCAAGGAGTGAAGTACTCACGTAGGTGTCTGATTCGAGCCCGAGTTTCGTCGCTTGCCCGTGCAATGCCTTGCCGGCTTGAAGCCGGCAAGACCTCAGAATCGACGAGAAGGTGAAAGTGTTTGGGGTGACGTTATCGGTGAGCATTTGGACGTACAAGAGGAGGGCATCTTTGTGGAGGTTGTGGAGCGCGTGTGCGTGGATAATTGAGCTGTAGAAGAAGACGTCGGGGGTCTGAGTTTGCCGGAAAATCGAAAGTGAGTGGTCGAGACGGCCGGCGGCAGAGTAGGAGCGCTGAAGCTTGAAGGAGAGGATTTGGTGGTCGCTTAAGTTGTGGCGGTAGAGGAAGGCATGGATTTGGTAGAGCTGGTTTGCGGATTTGGATTTGTCTATCAGTGCGGCAAGTTTTTCTGGACCCGGAGAGTTGGCAGTGGAGGATGGCCGGCACACGGGATTAGATGCCGCCGGTGGCGGAGTAATGGGGAATAGTGCGACGGAGGACATGGTAACCGACCACCAGCTAGCGGTTCCCTGACATTTAGCACCATCGGATTGGTTGGTTTCTATGATATGTGTTTATCCGGATAAATGGGAAGGCTTGGTGTGGGTAAGCCCAAGCCCAAGCCCTATGTCAGCACTCAGCCAGCACTAAAGATTTTTTTCATAGATAGGGGTTAGATAGTCATAACACATCAACCAACCAAATAAGGTGGTCGACAAGTAGTCGAACTGTCGATGAAAGGGGCATGTTAGCTACTAAATGAATAGGCATGTTGTACCTATGAAAAATAAAAAGAAACAAGAGAAAATATAAAAAGCAGATACAACCAATCGAACTTCCTCCAGCACTGCGCCACTCGAACCATGAGCTACATAGCCCTCTCGAATACGCCGCACTAGTTTTTGACTGTCCCCACATAAATTCACAGTAAGAAATCGTGAGTCAAGCACCAATTAATTGTGTCAGTAAAAGCTTCGTAAGGAAAGGATCAGAGATATCTTCATAGTATTTGTCGTAATCAAACCTGAGAACTCCGCTGTCAGAGAATCCGGCAAAGCCAATGCCTCCACCGCAACCTTTCCGCCATGCCCCATCACATCGAACAAGAACTCCCCTCGCCGTACATGAATCATCTTGTTCTTGTCGAGAGGAAGAGGGTCTTGTATCTGCTGATGGTCCGCATTGAATTTGATTATCCCTATATAACCCCATTTGACACCAAAATCGCACGACACTCCCCTATATAACACCATCTGACACCAAAACCGCACGACGAGCTTCTATGATGCTTTGACCTGAAAAATATACAAAAAAAACTACCCAAAAAGGCATCACATGTATAAAAACAGTCATAGAGATTGTCAAATGCACCTTTAAGCAAAATCCAAGGAAATCCAAATTAAAATGGCTATAGATACGCATAAATGGTGCAAAATATGACACATAACGAGGTGATAAAACTTATATTTTACGTGTCATGGTTGCATTTTCTCTTGTTGCTTGATATGGAAGAAGGTAAGGTCCGAGATACACTTGCCAATACCGCCTATCACCAAGTGGTTCGAATCCAAACTCATAGCACTCCCTAAGAGCCGATGTCGAATAGTTAGCATTGATGAAAACTTTAGCCTCCATGCGTAGAAACTGGACACATGCTATTGCGCGGGAACATGGTATAATTGTCCCTTGAAACTTTCCTCATGTGCACCTCCAAGACCTATAATCAATATTGAGGTGAACCACTTGGGAATTGCCTCCTCTATTTACTGCATTGTTCACGCCAATAATGACTTCAAACCTTGCAGCCATGGAATCAAATGGTCTCACTTGACGAGTTTTCCTAAAGCAATATTCTTATAAATTCGTAACACAATATTTATTAAATAAATTGCCTATTTTTTCAAAGTCGGACTTAGGATCCATACGAAGATCATTGAAGTACTCAACCATGCACCAGAAAGTTCGTAACACAAGTGTCTCAACTGGCATGCCATGAACTTCTTTCCTAACACCATTCATGCACTCCAGTATATCTGATACTACATGAACTATCCAATACTATGCAATCTTGACCTTGCATCAATGACAACAAATTTCTCAACCAGAGTCGCATACTTGTGTATTTGATTCTGCACACCTAAAAATTGAAAATGAATAGTAGATGATCATTTAAGGAGTAGACCACATATATTAAACCTACCAATTGCCCAAATATTTTTCTTTATATCCACCACTAATGTTATTCCATTGCACTTTGAATACATTGATGTTGATCATATATCATACAAAGGCTTTCCCGTTGAGTGACATATCCTTGGAGGTGTTCGAAAAACAAATGTCAACTCCTACTGTTCTCGCTCTACCATTACAACTGCTAAATGCAGTAATTCTGTTACCATCTTGAGCGCATGCCATCAGCAAAACCTCTTTGTACCTACCAGTAAGGAAGGTACTATCAACAAATATGACATGTAGACTATGCTTGAAGCCCCCAATGCATGATTGGAAAGCCCAAAAAAACCATGAGAAGATGAGATAATATGGATGAGCATCATTCTCAATGTGATCCCACTCATAACAAAATTCAAGATTTCGATCCAAGAATGCAATCATAAGATGTTGAAGCATGGTGTATGAATCCTCCCAGTTTCCGTATAGCTTCTCAACTGCTTGTTGCTTCCCATACCATACTCTCTTATATGAAGGAGTTACGCCGGATATGTTTGTGCATTCAGCTATGATAGTTTGATCCAAATATTAGGCTGCAGTAGTGACAAAATGTCTTATGGAGTTAGATATGAGCTCTAAATCCATTTGTAACATCCTGATCCCTTTTAAACAAACATATAAAACTGTTGCTCCGAAGCAGAGTAAAATTCCTTAAAATCAAAACAAGGAAAACAAAAGAAACTAGACCATTTCTTGTAACTCAAATGTAAAGCCCTAGATAGTTGGGAAAATCCAATTCATAATTCATAAAACACTAAACTCTGAATCTCCGGTATAAACTAAAAATAAGAAATGACATAGCAAGAATATCCAGCTGCAACTTCTTATTGTGATCCCTTTCTCTACCTGGTGAGTGAGAAGGGGCTAGTCTACGCCGTTACTCAAACTTCACAACACTTAAGGTTTCCCCCTTAAGTGTTCACCTTACAAACTCGTGAAAGTTGTTTATACTTCCACCCTTTAACACTATCACTTAAACACATGGGAGTTGTTACTACTCGCCACCCTCAAAACTCAAAACATTATAATAAACTAAAACATTTTACCTTTACTTTACGAGAGTTGTTCTTACTCCCTTCCTTTAACATTATCCTTTAAATGAATTTGTGGGAGTTGACATTACTCTCCACCCTTAACCTCAAAACTAGACACTCCTTACCCTATGACCATCGCGTTCGTATCACCATCCAGTGTCATAACCTCCTAGGAAATGACCCCGCGTTTCGATTTGCCGTCCGGTGCCATATTCTAGGTAATGGCCCGCGTTTCAATTCGCCGTCCGGTACCATGCTTGATCAACTATTGCGTATCTTATCGTCGTCCAGTAGTGATCCAACCACTCCGGGGTTTCCTTTCCTTACTAACACTCACCACATACACCTCACACACATATCAACTTCACCATCATTAGGCTGTGAAGTACCTCAAAAATACATATCACATAACACGCCATCACCTTCATTAGGCGATGAGGTATCTCAAAGTCTTGTCCTCACCTTTATTAGGCGGCGAGTTACCTTAACATATATTCATAGGCCTCATACATTCTCAATTCTCCTAGTTCAAATTTCTAGGAAAAATAGATCCTCAAACATGTATTTCGAGTAAATATAATTCGTAACTGAAAGCTTGAAATCATAAAGCTTAAACTTAAAAAACTCTACTTATTAGAAGGTCACCATTTTCGTCTATGGATTTGAAGGCATTAAATTTTAAGGGAGTTCCCGTTTGTAATCTCTTTGCTTCTCTCAAAAGTTTTTCTTTTTCACCCGGACTAGAATTTTCAACAATTATACATGAAATGTTTGGCTAGGTATATACATATCAGATAAATAATTTCCATTTTTCTATAAATAATTTTCATTTTTCTATAAAAAGTACAGAATTATCAATTTAAATATATCACGATAAAAAGAATTGAGGTCGTTTGGAGAATATGAGTTTAAATCTACAGATTGTCAACAATCTAACGATTCTAACTCTCTAGATTGTTGAAAATATATTTTAAAATATTTATTGTTTGGTAACTGTGATTGTTAACATTCAATTAAAATAAAAAGTTTAATTTTATATTAAATAAAATGTTTATCCTTAATAAAAAGAATTAGAGTGGTTCAATAAATATTAAAAAATTTGTTGATAAATATATTTAATGTGATAAATAAGTAAAAGTAAGAGAAAAACTAGTAGGAAAAAATCTCACGTATCAAGATATAGAATATCTCTGATTATGAGAGATTTGATATCCGCATATTTTACAGATTTGAAATCTCTAAAGCTAGAATCCACAGTAAAAAACAACAAAAAAACATAATTTTTTACAAAATCTATGGATTCAGTGAATCTACGTCCTGAATCCTGTTCTCCAAACGACCCTGAGTCTTAATTGAAAACTACAACAACTCAATAGTTGAGGTTCCAGCTTAGTTATTGTACTTCAGGTGGTGTGGCTTTCTCTGGCCAACGGCAACCTTTGCCAGTCCGTTTCTTCCTTTAAATCTCGTTATCTTCTGTTTCTTTCTTCCTTTAAATTTCGTTATCTTGATATCCAGATCGATAATGGTGATTAATCATTGACTTATTTAATTCCTAATTCACAATTGATAATTCCCTCCAGTTTGGTTATGAGGAACACGAATGGGTTTTTGTGACTGTCAGGAAGTGAAGACAGTGGAAAAGGGTCACCCACCCTCTGTTCCCTCTGGATGGTTGAATAAACGATACCTTATCAGAACAAAATGGACAGATCCAAATCACGACAAGCAGGAATTTCCAAGCCTATATTGATTGCATTCATTAACTCTGTTTAGGGCTAACAATTGGTTCGGTTCGGTTATAACCGGGGTGGTTTAGTCGTTTTTCGGTTAATCATTAACCATTTTGTGTTTACTATTAATCGTACTATTTATATTAATCGGTTAACCGTAATCGTATATTCAGTTCTCGATTATTTTATCAGTTAACCGGATAATCGTTAAGAAAGGGATTCGACAAGATTATACCAAATAACCGATCAATAACCTAACCAATAGAAGACATCCTTCATTTTTCAATTGTGCATTTTTGTAGATTTTGCTACATACGTGTGCATTCTTTCTTAAGTTGTTATCATTGAATAAAAATAATTAACATAAATATCAATCCATAATCAACACAAGTACACAATAACACCAATTTACCGTCAAATTTTATTAAAGAAGCAGACACAAATAAGAGATCGAACAACAATTACTACCTCATGAACCCCAGTAGCTCAAATGTTACCGGTTGTTGT